ATTATCTTCTTTTTTTTTTTTTTTTTTTTTTTTTTTTCTATATTTTATATTGCCCTATTCATCTGCTACAGAATATTTCTCAAAGAGAAGTACAGATAAATACATTACAAATCACACTTCGAAATATGTTACGAAAAAAAAAATTTACGGAACATAAAGAAAGAAAGATAACACTATACGATGATCAACTCAAAGGGAAATAACAAGAAATAACAAAAAAAAAAAAGACAAAAATAACACGTATAAAAGATATACGGAAAATGTAGGAAGCAACAGAACAGGCCTGATCGAGCCACCCTCGTGTGTCACTCGTTTCACCGCACGATAATGTATAAGAACGATAGAGAAACAGAGAGTGGAACAGAGTACGCGTATGTATGTTTATATATATATATATATATATGTACTGTATGCGTGTGCGTGTTGTATGCGAGAGGACGAAAGAGAGAAAGAGAGAGAGAGAGAGATAGTGAAGAGGCGAAGAGGAGGAGAGAGGGTGTACAGTAGAAATGTCGATAAAACATGTTGGCCAATGAGGAAGCTTGGAGTGACGTCACAGTCGTGGCATTGGCCAATCAGGAGGCACCGGTAACATCACCACGAGGGTGGAAACAAGTCGACCCCAACCAGGGGAGAGGCTTTTCTCTTTCTGGGGGGTTGCACGGGAAAAGGGTCGGTTGGGTAGGGAATCACGAGAACCCGGAAGAAGAGAGGGGAACGAAGAAGGAGGCACTGTAGGAAGGGTGGTTGTAGGCGGGATAAGGGGGTAGGCGATCAGGGGTTCGGGGATTCGGTGTGCATACCGGGGAGCCGGTGGTGGCGGTTCAGGCAACCCCCAATATGGGTTTACTAATCCCGCGAAACAATGGAAATTGCCCGATGCAAAATGGCGATAGATAAACTAGTCTACCTCGGGGAGTCCGAGAAAGGACAAAATATATATATATATATATATAGCTCGGTATGGATGGTAAAAGAGGAACACGGTTCGTTTACGGTATGGTTAATGCGTTTCGATAGATTGAATTTTCGAACACGCATTCGAATATTGCCAGATTTTCCACGTATTTTGATTTTTCACTTGACGGGGAAGATCTCGATTAATCTAGTACTTAGATAAATTACAATGTAATATTTTATATAAAAAATGAAAAGTATATTACCGACAGAAGTTAAGAAATGAATTAATCGTTTGTGAATTTCTTTGTACTTTTTATCCTCTGAGATCGATAGGTTGGATAAAAGGATAACAGAGGGAGATAATAGTTCATATATCATTAATTAATAACTTTTTTTCGAATATGTTTCGATAAACTTGTAAACGAATTTTATCTTTCAACTTTTATCAGTAAGTGGGAAAGTTCCAATTTTTAAAATTATAAAAAAAAAATGAATAAAACTGAATTAAATCTTTTGGATATAACCAATTTTTCTTTTTAAAGATCATATTGTGTAAGTTATATATAAATGCATTAGACTTGTCTAATTCTTTTGCTGATCACTGAGCAATATATTAAAAAAGTGAACTTGTTCGGTTTTTGTACTGTCTTCAATTATTAAAATAGTTGTGTTGAAATCAAATAATATTTGAAGATTTATTTATAGTTGTAATAAGTACAATAGTGAAAAATGGTGATAAATATAATTCTGTGTGTTTTGTGATTTAATTAAAAGAGCCTTGATTAACCTAAATAATAACTTAATTAATATTAACCTAAATAATTTGTCTATAGTGTTCAATGTTTTAAATAAAATATGTAGGAAATAGAATTATTGAAGTAGATTTCTTGAAATAAAATGATATTTGAAGATTTATTTTACAATTATAATGGTAGAAAATATTTATTTAAAATATATTAAATATAATTATTAATTGAAATAACAATTTATTAAATTGTATTGAAAATAATTATTTAAATATATGTGTTTTAACTTGTATTATTTTAAATATTATTTTTTGTGATTATTATTTAACGAGAAAATGAATAAAATAAATGATAATAAAATAAATAAAATAAATGAATAAAAAAATAAATAGAAAAAAGAAAAATAATTTATTTATGATCTCTCTTATATTTTTCGATTAATAAATTTAAATATATGAATGTTAATTTTTCATTTATCTTATGATGCATAAACACGAATATTAAATAAAATTAAAATAATAATTAAATATTCTTATCCTAATAATACGGATATGCAATAAACACTTATGTTCAGTTAAGAAGAAAATCACTTTTTGATATTTTAATCTTTCATTACTTCTGCAATCAGTATTTTAAAATTATAATAAGTATGAACTTTCTCTGTGCAAAAATATGTTTCTTTTTTTTAATCTTTAATCTGACTTCTAAATATAATAAAATTCTCTTTTTTATATTTCGTTAATGAAAATTTATGATTTAAGTAAAAAAATGTGAATGATTTTATCTATTGGCATCGAAAATTGCAGACAATATGTAATATTTGATAAAAAACATTGTTTTTTGTATCTTTAAGCAATTTAGGTTAGGTATCAAATGAAAAATAGATACGATTCAATGATTATAAGGGTTAGACATATAAAAAATATAAAAGAATGATTTAAAAATATGATGATCATGATTTTGATATAAATCTAATTTGATAAAAATTTAATTTAGTAATATTTAAATATGTTTAAATATGTTCCTATTATTATGAATATAAATGAATAAAAATCATTTATTATATATAATTTATAATAAATATTTTAATTTTCTAATACAGAATAATTTTCTAAAACAGAAATTACAATTAATCTGGTGTTAAGCAAAGTTGTAATTTTAATGATATATTTTGAATAACTTGAACTTTAACATAAAACTATTTTAATTCACTAGATAATATTAGAATAAATGTATAATATTATTATGTTAAAATTCTTATTATAAATATAATGTATGTATTTTTGAATTATCATGTTGCAAAATGAAAGTATTACTTTTGCTTTTAGTTATTTTAATTATAATTCTATTAGTCAAGATTATTTTATATAAAAAAATAAAATATATGTCTGGGCTTTCTTGCATAATTAAACTAATATTATTAATGAAGTTTTACAAATTATCATTTTATATTATAATAAATTCTTTTTAAAAAGAAACTTTCTAACAATTTTTGATGAAACAAGCAATATTCAACAATTAAATTTTACAAATTACAAACTAATTAATTACAATTATAATTAATTACAAATACATTATTACAAATAATTATAATTAATTACAAAAATTAATTTAGAATAACAAAAAATTATATATCTATTACTTATTATTTATCAATTTATTAAATTATTGTACATAAAAATTTGATAAATAATTTTTATGTATATATGATATATAATATAATATATATGATATATAATATATAATGTATAAATAAAAAATAAATATATAATTTAAACATATGTTTTAAAATAACATTTATGCATACATCCCGGTTTATTTTATAAATAATATCAAATATTATTATTTTTAAAATCAACAGATTTTTTTTAAATTCTATTGCATTTTTATTCTCTTTGTACTAATAGGTGTGGTTTCAAAATAGAAGAGCAAAATATCGGAAGCAAGAAAAACAACTTCAGAAGGCTTTGACTCCAATTCCTGCTTGTCAAGGTGCTATGATGAGGAATATATATCCTGGTGCTAGCAGAGGTTATCAACCATATCCTCATCCTCATAATAGCATAAATGGAATAAATCGCTATCCTCAGGCAAGTCATATTTATATTCATTAATTTTTATATTAATTTCATTATAATCACCATATTTGATCAACAACATTTTTGTACTATTATGATATTGTACACTCAATATTTCTCTTTACTTTTTAAATAATAAATAATTTTTAAATTATATTGTAAAACTATTATAAATTTAAAAAAATTACTTTATATATAATTCATTATGTTTTACATAGGTATAAACTTTTAATAAAATCAAAATTTTTGATCAAGTTGAATTTCTTCGTAATGTAAAGTACGGATAAATTTTACTATATCCAGTAAAATATGAATATTTCAAGATGATTAATCCATCGTCACGTTCCAATCGTGATTTATGTGTATTAATTAAATGAAAAAAAAAAAGGAAAAAAGAAAAAAATTCGTTAACGGTGACAATCGATGCATCACGCCTAACAAGCAACGTATCGTATCCCTACGAATGAATTCGATGCGTTTCTCGTTAATGATTTTAACCGAGGTATTAAATTGAAGTGCACCTGAGCGTCCGGCGCATCGCTATCGGTCGATGTAGCTAAATTGCATTTCGACTGATTAGTTGGGTCGGACGGATTACCGAATGCCTACCGGTTTAATTAAGCCAATAATTCGTCGAGCGTATCGGTTTGCCAATAAAAAAGCTTCGAGATCCTCTTAATCGATCTTCGAAGTCACGTTTGAAATACCGGGATAAAATTATTCGATCATATTCACTGTAATATTTGCTTGATCTGTGTAATATTTATCGATTAATTCTAATCATTATTTTGTATATTTATAAGTTTATAAATCGAATACTTATTAATTTTAAACATAATCTTATCAATCGTATCAATGTAAATTTGTTTTTTGTAATAGTCATAAAATTCTAAGTATTTGTTTAATATAAAATTTTATGATTGATCTTAATTATATTGATTTTAAATGTTAAACTTGAAAAAATGCTATATAGATTATATTTTTTTTTTAAATAAGAAAAGTTTTTAAATTTGGGTAATAGATTAAAATGCATTATTTAATATTTTTATTAAAATATTTTAAAGTACTTTTTGTTTATTTCTCTTTGAAAAATATAATTTTTTTACGTTATAAAATGAACTATTAATATTTCCATTCATAAATTTTAATTATTAAAAATTTGGTATCATTAAATAAATAATATTTGATATTATAAATGAATGTTGCTAAATGATCAACAATTTTTAAATACCTTTTACACTCGTACATATTATTCACTTCAATCTTAATGAATAGTATATTCTCTTAAATGATTTAATGGAACATTTTATCATATTACCTTCGTGTAATGAATAACTAATTTACATATAAATTTATGTTTATAGATGGGCACGACGTCCTATCCAAGTATGACCCAACCATTTTCTATGTCACATTCAGCGTCAAATATGTCTGCAGTTACTGGTATGAGACAAGATGCAATGGGTGAGTGTATATCAATTTTATCTGTATACTATTAAAGCAATCATTACATATATTTAATCCATTAATCGATTTATGATTTTATTAATTGACAAATTGTATAATATAATATTTTTATATATATTATATTATATAATTCCAAATATCATATTTCATATTAATTAAAAGATCTTATTGAAAAATATTCAATATATGAAGAAATAATAATTCAAATGTAATTATCGTTATCAATAAAAGATAAAAATAACTGTCCTAATTCTTATTTTTTCTTATTCAAAGTTATTATTAGAGATGTTGTTAACAATATCTATCTATCTATATAATATATAACTTAAAGATTATAATATATAGATAACTTAGAGATAATAATATTTCATTGAATTTTCAATACATAAATTAAACTTCAATATAGTTTTTCAATAAAATTTATTTATTTTTTGCAACTTATTACAGATAATATTTTTACGTATGTTAATAATTCAATTTTAAAATCTTTGAGAAAGAAAATAAGACAAAATGAGAACTCTAATCATTTCTATCCGTTAATCATTAACAGTATTTTAACGATATTATCAATTTATCAAAATATAATCGATAAATATCGATAATCACAAATTAGTTAGTTTAAAAAACTAAACTAGAATAGTTTAGTAATTAATGATCAATCAATCTATTTAATATTATTTCTTAAATAAATTTGACTTGAATTTTAATTTTATGATTTCATAAAAAGATATAATATATGAAAATTTATGATGTGTTTCATTAAAAATATATGTTATTATGTATATTATTATTACTATATTATATAATATATAGTATAATAGTTATATAGTATATTAGTATTATTATTAATATTATTATATAAAATGAAATATTTAATACAGGCCACTTGAATATCTTGATTGTTATTGACAGAAAAATCAAAATTGTATAGTATTGAATGGTATATAATTTGATGTAAATAGTTTTTTTGATAACTAAACTGCAATGAAGATTAATTTCATTTTTTTTAAATGGTATATTTTTTTACTCTTTCAATGAATATATAATTCAAAATTATTCAAGCGATTATCAGCAAAAATTTACAAAAAAAAAAATAATTTAATTTATATGAGGGATAAAATTTAAAAAATTTTTAAAACAAAATTATACAAACTTTATGAAAATAGTTTAATTTAATAAGGATAATATGAAAAAAATGATAAAAACTTTAAATTCTTAGAAAATATAAACAAGATTTTTGTAAAAATAATCAGAGATCAGCTTTTTTTCAGTTTTGCTTTTTGCTTTTTCTTGTTGTGTAATTATTTATTAATTATTTAAGGTGTTGACCTAAAATTATTAAATAACTCGGTAAAATATTGGACCGGAAATGACGAGTCGGACATCCGTGCAAATATTCGTTCGTTCAGTCCAAGACGTTTTCCCCATTTCCGCTCAAGCGCCGTCTTACATCATTTCCGGTGCAAGATGGAATATCGCTTTAAAATCAAATCAAGACTATTCGCGAATTGCCTACTCACTAGTGTTGGTGTTCAAGTTCTTATTCAGTATCGAGTGTAGGTCTTCGCTCGAATATCTTTGGTTCTTATAACGATTTAACGTTTTAATTTGATGGAAAATCAAGTGATTAATGACAAACCTTTTGGAAAATTCATTAAATTGAATCCTTGAATTACTAATTTCAATATAAAAGAAAAGAAATTTACTTTCATTTCTCGATCACTTTCAATGGGAAAATGACAATGAATACTTCATTTTTCTTTAGTAGTAAATATTATTAAATTCTTAATCAAAATACATATATAGAAATGAAAATATATATATAGAATTGAATCTCGGTAATTTTAATCAAAATTATTCAAATCTCAAAAGCAGATCTAAAATCCAAAGATAAGTTAAATGAATACTCTCCAAAGGTATCCATGAATATATTAACATTGTGCATAATATACATATTATGAATTAAATCATTTTTCAGTTTTTCAATGTTTTTGAAATTGAAAAGAATCTTTTTTTTTTCTTAAAATGTTCAAATTAAATATTTATAAAATATTTAGATTTAAAAAATACTACAATTTAATACATTTTAATTCGTGCAAATTGTCCAATTAATACCAAAATTAATGGACAGTTTTGTTTTAATAATTGAAGAGAATAATAAATAGTCATATAGTAAAAAAATAAGATAAACTAATTTATTGCTTTATTTCAGGAATGTCAGCCGAAGATGAGTGGTATAACAAAAGTATTTCCGCTCTGAGAATGAATACGGCACATCATCCTAACCTCGCTGCGCCGATGCTACAATATCAAACATAATTGTAAACGTATACGAATGGATGATTCGACGAAATCGTTATGAGATATTATATTTGACTGCGTATCTTCATTCAGACAATTGAAAACGTGTTGTCAAGAGAAGAAGAGGAAAATGTTATTTCAAAAATACTATGAAGCATTAAATGTAAGAAAAAAAAAGTGAAACGAAATCAAATTAAATCATGTGACATTTTACACAAGAAAAAAAGAACGAAAAATTCAAATTTCCAATAGACACGAAAGTAAATAATCGTGTTCCCATTTTAACGTCTTACCAGGATTATTCATTTATTAATAATGTTATTGATAGAAAAATCAGTCCTGACTATTGCGTTCAAATTAACGAGAGATATCACCTGACATTTCATCATAATGTTAACGATATTTTGGTAAAGTAACTTTGTTAATATCATTTGATATTATTAATAAAAAAAAAATATATATATATTATTCATGTGCGGCGTTATGCATATACACGCGGATGATATGTATATTCCATTAAATGTATGTATACGCACATAACACTATGATTATTAGTGAAAAATGGTTATGTATGTACACAAATTTCTATTATTCTGTACAAAGCGTAATATATTTCGATTAAACTCTTTTGAGTTTTTAAATTAAATAATACATGTTCTTAGGATCGTCATTTTTTTCTAGTAGTAGTAGAAATGCATATTGCCGCGTAATGCAATTTTGCATTAAAATTTATTAAGAGATTATTCATAGAATGCAATACGATATGTATATATTTGTTTTGTTGTTTCTTTTTTGTTTTTATTTGTTTTTTTATTCAGGGATGGAACATTCGGAATTTTGAAATTTTTTTATGAAAGAAATCTAGGTAAATAATAATATAATTTGTAAATAAATTACAACAATATCGTGAAGATATGAATAATATTTTTATTTAACTAACAATTTTTAAAAATCAAAATGATAGCTTTTATTATTAGTTATGAAGTAGGAATTTAAAGAATTTATACAAAATCAAAATTTGTTTGTTTTAAATTTTCTTGATAAAATATATTAAATAAAAGAAAGAAAAAAATAAAAACTTTAAATTTCGAAAATTTTGAAAAATAATAACAGTTTTAAATTTGAATTTAAAAAACTAAAAATCAGGTTTCAATCCATCTCTTATTTACATATGTCTTTTATGCGCATTTTATATTAATAAAAAAGAAACAATGTTTAAAAGAATGATTTTTTTTTTAACTTTTCTATTTCTTTTTTTCTTTCTTCTATATGATAGATGCTATGCATAATTATAATTAAAGTAATCGATATGCACACGTGAAGTGGAACTCGAGATGCGCACAGTCCATATCTTTTTGTTAGTTTCTTAACAACGATCCAAAACAGTTTCGTTAAATGAAGGAGATTGTAAATAAGGAAGAGATACATATACAGTGTAATCAACAGATATTCTAGCATATGCGATTTTTCAATGTCCTTTTAAAAATGTAAGCATACCTAAACTTAGTGGAATATTAGATATTGATTTGTGTGCTTATGTTGGATAGAATTTTAAATAATCGGGATGAGAGATGAGAATAACTGATAATGTGTCTTGCGTTTGAAATTTGAGAGACGTCAGGGGTTTGTGAATAATTATACAAATTTATATTTAAGGGTACATATTTTGTTTCTGTCATATAATGCTCAATCAAATGTACTCTGGATTCTGATAATTTTACATAAAAAATTTTGTATCTTATAAAAATAAAAACAATGTACTTATAATATCAATTATTTGTGAAAAATGTGCTAAAATTATTTTAGCAATTATTTAGCAAGATAAAATGTTTTCAAATATTAATATAAATCAATATAAATTAATATTTAATTGTACTCTTGTACTAATATTTCTTGAAATGAAAGCTTACTTTAATATGTATGTGCGTAATATAAAAATTATATACTAAATTATAAACGAATTTGATTAATTATAAATATACTTGGCTGAATTTTTGAGGAACATAAAATTTTTTTTTATTGTGTAATGATATATATTTGATGAATAGAATCCAAATATATAAGCATTAATAGAGATTAAAAATTATGAGTTTTTATAAATTATGTATTTTAGGCATATATATTTATGCTTATACATATTTAAATAAAACAAATTAATTGTTACACAAACAAATATGTGATGATGGAAAACATATACTATGCTTTTTATTAAATTAGATAATACAGATTTTTAATTTTAATTTAAAAAATTGCTAATAAAAATTTTTATTTATTAAAATTGATATGATTTATGTAATGATGCAAATATATTTGAAAATAAAACTTTCGAAAATTATTGTCGAGAATTATTTTTCACTAATAGACATATTAAAAGTTACTATCAAATAATTGGACTTATAATGTCATGAAAAATATTTCTGAAAGTATTACTCTAAAATCTTTAGATTTATATTTGAAAGTTGTTTCAATAATGTGTATTGTAAAATATTATGTTTAAATATTTATAATATAACTTTTAACATAATAATTTTTTAACACTTATAAAACTTATATTTTTGGATTCTCAATAATTAACAAATGAAAAAAAATTATGTTAAAATATAGTTTAACCTATATTTTTTTTGTACTAATTAATTGACTATATTTTTTTAATTTCAAAATATTGATTTATAAATGTTCATTGAGTTTAAATAGAATAGAACTAAATAAAAATAGTTAATTTACTTTAAAAAATGAGGAATTACATATATGTAATTATAATTTACGAAAGCTAACGTGTTTTTTATTAGATACTTCTATGAAAATAAACAAGGTATTTAAAAAAAATTCTATTCTATTTAAACATTTTTGAACATTCTCCCTGACGTCTTTCAGTGGTGATATTTGGATCTGTCCAATCAACAATCGTCTATATTGGTGTCATTTTTCGATAATTGTCTAATTAATATATTGATCGAGAATGAAGCTGCAAACTGCATGTTTTCATGTAGTTTTGCTGCAATTTTAACACTAATATCGCCCGCCATGTTCCACGCGAAATGTTCCTAAAAATTTGTAACATATCACACGATATATGAAACATATATGCATTAGCATATATATATAAAACATACGCATACATGCATTTCTATTACGACGTGCATGGATGAGAAACACATTACACACGCACATGCACACGTACACACATTAAGTATACCGAGGAGAAATGATGAAGTGGAGATGTATACCGGGCAAGCGTAATATAGTTTTAAGCAAGGGTCACGTATTGTACGTATGTGTTGTACATAGCCTAAATAAAAATTACATTTAAAATTATTTGCTGTTCTAAAATATGTATCCTATTAGACTGATGAAAATATGAAACGAAAAAAAAAAAAAAAGAATATAGAGAAAATGCTACGAGATTTAATGGAGATATCGAAAAAATATATATACATATATATTAATATCCAAACTAATATTTGATAGCAAATGAAGAAAGAGAAGGATTAAAATATAAAAATATAAGATATCATGGAAAGTCATTGTAAGATGATTTCTCGTAAAAAAAATAAGAAAATATAATTATTCAGATATTTAAAAATTGAAGTAATTTTTTAAGAAAAAAATTCATTTTAAAAAGTAAAATAAAAATCAGAAGAAAGATGTGATAGAAAAAGATGAATTTTCAGCTTTATTTTTTAATTATTGATAATTAAAAATCCTTAAACACGGATCTTTTTTACGAATGAATATAAATAATAAGAAATATAATGGTTAATTTATTTTTTTTGCGATCGAATATGAATTAGTTGCCGTACATGTATTATTGAATTTGAGATGCAACTATAAATATTTCTTCATAAATAAACATATCTATTATTAGTAATTTATCATCGGTAATTTAGATTAAATCCTATTAAAAATAGATAAATTTTAAATCGTTATAACTCCGAAGATAATAATTTTCAATCAATGAATGCTCATTAAAAAGTATGGATCCCTACCTTTAAAACATTTTTTATTTATCCTGATACGATTTCCAGTTCACGAAATATCGTTATATAGATTCCAAGTTATAGACAAGTGAAATTGGTCAATGACAGACGCAACTAGTTTTTTTTTAAAACACATGCATTTATAGGAAAAAAATATAATATATTTGAAAGTAAAATTCTCGAAAGCTGTTTTTAAGAGAATTTTTCATGAATAGATACTGTGATAAAAGCAATATCCGATAATAACTTTCACTCTCAATGTAATATCTATTAGCAAAAAATATTTATCGACAACAATTTTCGAGAATATTATTTTCAAATCTATCATAAATTGCAGCATTTGTAGATTTATTCATAATTTCTATTTCAAGCATTGTAAATATTTTAAATTCTCATATCTTGGAAAACAATTAAGATATTAAAATAAAACAAAAAATGATTTTAATTGCATAATTTTTTGTTTATTTCTCGAATGAATTATGTAAATGGAATATTGAATATTAAATATATTTGTTATAATTCATTACATATTATCTAGAAAATATAATGAAAAATAATTATGTTAATAAAACAATGTTATTAATTTCTACCAAGAATTTGACCAAAATTGATGCAAATTTCTAATAATAATTTTATAATAAATATATATTATAATAAATAAAAATAGGAAACTAATAAAATAAAACATATGTTTTATTATATATAAACTATTTTAATAATCTGATATAGTACAAGGGTTCATATAAATAAATAGCGCTTACATAATTTATATACATTAATTATTATATTTAAATTTAATTAAATTTAATGTTTCATATATGTAATGAATAATAAAATTTTAACCTAATTAATCTAAAGAATATTATAATACATTATTATTTCTATAATTATAGAAATATATATGTGTATATATATATAGTCATGAAAATGCATTAGATTCAATAGAAACAGCAATATAGTTTAATGTTTCAAATAATGTTATCTTTTCACTAATATTACACATGGTATTCATAAAATGACTATGAAAATAAAAATTCAACCATATATTCATTAATAATAAGTATTAATATCTATATATGGCAAATATATTTAGAAATTTAGAAATATTTAGAATTTTTTATAAATTGTTTAATAGCATGCACCAGTTTTTTTGTATTATTATAGTTTTTGAAATGTGTAAAATAACAAAATAAAGTAGTATATTTGAAAAATAAATTAATAATCATATTTTAGTATAATATATATTAATATAGAAATACGATATATTTTTATGTCATTTAAATTTTTTCATTTTAAGTTTCATTATCAAGTTTTATGCATGAAGATGTAATAGA